ACCTGCTCAGGGTCGAGAAATCCCGTCCTACCAGGAGTATTGACCCTACTGGTTTTTGGGGATTTATCGTGCTAACTACCTTTAATTCCTAAATTAGCACCGGAGGCCAAGAATGAATGTCACATTCGTAATCAGGATGCTAAATTCCCCGTGTACAAGCTTTCTATGGATTTGGTGATTTAGGCACTTCATGAGCTAGCAGCCAAAAGTCAGCGCGTCCAAACGACATTAGCCCTTCGCAATTCATGTTCCCTTCCAAACGGCTTCTGAGTGCCCAGCACAAATAACAGTGCCCAGAGGGCGAAAAAGAGAAAGACTGATTGAGGCATGATGAGATCATTTCCCACCTGAAACAAACCGTTGTCTTAATGGAACATTTTCGTCTTGAGACAAAAAATTGGTCGTTCACCCACCTCATTTGAAGGAAAATGGAATTTCAAACGAGCGACGCAGACAGCCAAATCCATCTGAAGCTGAGGATCGTTGTTGCAGAGGACGAATTCACATACAAAACAGATATTTGGGAACTGCTCAAATGGGCAGCAATTCAATACATCATCACATTTTTAATCATAAATTGGTTGATCAACAATTTTTTGAGCTCTTTATTTGGAAATCGTTTAATAGAAGCTGTTCCATGTTGTAAATGATTACAGTAATTATAATAAATCTTAAATTGGCACTAAAAACTCCGCACCGAGGTAACACAGAAAGTATCACAATTTCAGCGATAACATGTACTATAGGTATCACAGTACAGCAACAGAGCAGAAATGCTAGAGATCGTGTAAGCCACCGAAGGCTCAGCATGAGAAATAAGGCAAGTCTTAGGGGGGAGCCCAGCAAAATCAACAGATGAAGCTAGCAGAACTACTCGTAAATTCTTAACAGGAACGTGATTAATTAAAATCTAGGTCAATTCTGCTGTTTGGCTAAGTAATGAACCTCAAGCGAATCACGGATGAATTTCTTTGGCTAGAGAAATGTCACTACATTGTTACTGTCGTATTCAGATCTCTCGGTTGGCAAACGAACCATCTTCGTCGCCTGAATCGAAATCGACGTCCCTTTCCATAAGAGACACATACTCTCCCGATGTTCCTAGCGCTGGCGAACTCGAGTACTCCATGATTTCTTTTAACCTAGATTGAGGTAAAGTCAGGTAACCTAAAAGTAGCGCCCGCTGCATTGAAAAAGAACCAAACCAACTATCCAAAAATTACCTTGCTGCTTTTCCAACTGACTTTACTAACAACATGAAAACCATCGCTAGTGGAATAGTTAAGAGAAGAATTATAGTAGTGAGCTGCTTTGATGAGGACGGCTTGAGAGTCACGCAGAATACTGCCGACAGAGAACGGCCGATCACAGATGGAAATATGTAATAATCTAATTGTGTCCCCGCTCTTGGACACACTCGCACCTCAAAATTGTGGATAAAGATCTTCGACAAAGAATCAATATTGAACAACGATGTCGTCAAATGTGAAAACCCAGAAAGCCTTGTCTAGAAGATACACCTTTCCAACACTCCGCATATGAATCGGATGCAGGGCGCAATACATAGGGGATGCCAGTCGGGGTCGAGTGAGCTACTTCCTAATTATTTTAGTGAGAATATGTGTTTCAGAAACTTATCGAACTCTTCAAAAAAACTTTGAATCATATTGCGCCAGGGACGTGAACTTTTCGCGTCGTCCGAAACTTGTTTTAACAAATTCACAACGAGAAATGTTTTCGTAATTGTGCGCGCGAGAGGAAAGTGAGGTGTTTTTTGAAAGGTGGTTCTCAAAAGATCATTAACTGGAGAAACGTTTTGCTGTCCAAAGCAAAAAACTCCTAGGTGACACTCAAATGTTAATAATCAAACAGGTACTTCCGGAACTCCTGGCCCATTTTGAAAATATACCGTGAAACAGCAACGATGAAAAGGCATTTTGAATGCCTGCGAGCAATCTGAGGGTGCGCGAATCTTTAACATTCAAGGATCTTATTCTATATCACTTGTTTTTTTTTGTCTTTTTGTCCTTCTTTCGTAGGCGGGGGGAGTCGGGCGAGCCCCGCATCCAGAGATGGGTGGGTCCTATTCATCACAACGCGATGGCGGGGCCCTGTTTACGAGGCTTGGCCTTTCCGGTGGCTGAGCACCAAATTAGAAGATGGGTATCGATTGACGCCGGTCGCTAACATACCGGAGATGGGCGATCCAGCGACTTCATGAAACGCCAGATTGCCGAGTCTCCCAAATCGCCGAATCTCCTCAGTCGCAAGGTATGAACGTGGTCTAAAGACCCATTAATATGGTTTAAGGGTTTTCGCAAAATCAGTGTTGACTGAAATTGGGAACAAAAATTAGATTTTTTTTGAATCTTCAATCTTATCCCACATGCTATTACGAGTGAAACGCTGATGGATGTATATAGCCCTAGCTGTGACTTGAATCTGACATGACGCACGGATAATGTGCACCAGCACTTTTCGAATTCCAGACAAACAACGCTCCGTCACTAAGCACTGACTTTCACGGAAGTCGGTAGCTCATACATTTTGTGGACTGATGCTTGTACTCATTTGCAGAAGAACCAAGAGAAGGACTCTGACAAAAATAAAAGAAAAATAATCAGGTTCGCAGCAAGGTTGGAATCGAATCTGCACTTTTTCTCGTATATAATATGCGTATATCGTCTTCGTCTGACTCCGCCCACCTCGGAGCAGGCTCCGCCCACAATGTTTTTGCCCCACAATCTTAACCGACGACCCTCTGCTGAACTTAATCCACTTTTTCCGGTATCTGGAGTGTTCTGGAACCGAGCTACAAACTTTTAAAATGAATACCCTGCGATTTAGGGCAAGCTCCGCCCACTGTGGGGGTCTCAACACACTTTGAGCGTGCCCTATATTCGCCAGATATTTACATTCTACACTGAGTTTTTGCGACTTCCAAACACTCTCGCGAACCGGGTTACTGAATTTTGCGAGAAGCACCGCCCACCTTGAGTACGCCCCGCCCATTTAGGGTGTACCTGCCACAGTT